TTCCTATTGATTTTGTGTACACACGATTTTGTGTTTTCTCTATATCAATTAATTATTGTCTAGTCATTGTAAGGTTACACTAAAAAGGCGTGCCGATGATACAAAAGCGTTATTCAATCAATTGACTGGTTGACTATTGATGCATTCGCAATACCGTATTGATGAAGCCTAAATACACATTGTAGAAACGTTTTGAAAGTTTAAATCCGGTTTTACATAAGAAATACAGGAAATAAAACATATCTTTATAACATGTTTTCTCTTTTGGAATTTCGATATCACACCTTTTTCCTAGTCGTTCTATATACCCATATTTCATCCACAAAAAACACTCTCAGGTGTTCTACCACCCTGACCAAAAGGACTTTGTTGATAAATAAAACCATAATGTGTCTCTGAAATTTACTGTAGGGCATATATCATAATATTATAATGATTAAAGAGAAGGAGCCCCGTTGGGCCGACGGGGCCCCACTCTAGGCCCGGGACCTCACGAAATTTGTCCAAAAAAATAAATAAATAAATAAAAAATGGAGATAAAAAGAAAATATTCACAACTTGAAGTCTGTGAATGTCATTTCCGGCCATCTAGATTTGCCATGGTAATATATTTTCTTATCTCAGCCCCACAAGGGCAACGGCATAGGCCTAATGTGTGTCTGAAATCGACTGCAAGACATATTATATTATATCCAGTGGTGGAATAAAGAGTGTGGGGGAGGGGGAGCTGCCGGCCCGGGGCCCCACTAAATTTGTTAAAATATTTTTTAACTGAAGATAAAAAGAAAATTCATAATTTTGTATTTGAAGTGCCATTTCCGGCCATCTAAAGGTGCCATATTCATAAACTTTCTTACCTCAGCCCCAGTCATGGTGGGTCTGAGGTGGTATAGACTCTCTAACTGTGAAAGTCCCTCCCTCGCCTCAATTTTCTGGATGCATATTATATCATTTATTCTTCGTTATCAAGATAGAAACGCCCTCAACTTGCTAACCGATAGCGCTTGCTAACCGTTAGCGTATCCGGATACCGCTAACGGTTAGCGCTAACCGATCGGGCGTTCTCACGCAGGTGCTAACGGTTAGCTCCCGATCCGGATACTAGGGCTCTCGTGAGAACCAAGCTATTAATTCACATTTTTTCGTTAGCAACATCTGTCAACGACATGCATTTATACGCTTCCAGTAGAGCAGTTGTGCAATAAAGCGTTTGACTTGAACCCATTAAATATCTTTATAATGAACAATGTTCCCCTGATTATATTTTTTCGGACTTTTAGTATGTTATTATTTGTATATTTCAGGAACGGATTCCGTTAAATATTTATGTTAAAATTACTTCTGTGTTCATTATAATTCTGTCTAAAGATTGATTGGTTCAACTATAAAGCTAAGTCAGCGTAAAACTGAAAAATACTCAGATTTTGCATTGATTTTTCGAATAGTTAACCCTCGTTAACCCTAAAATGACTTAGTTTATTATAATCCTCAATCATTTATTAATTAATATCTGTTAAAATTAGAATTAGCGAATTTCGGCCAATTTATGAAAATTGAAGTTGAAATATACTATACTTTTAAAGGTCATGTAAATGTTCCATTAAATTCGAAACTTTTTTTTGATGTAAAATATTAATATGTTTGATATTCCATGAGAGATTAATGTATCAGCTTCAAAATAGAAATGATTGCGCAGCCATAGTGATTGACTGTATGTAGTGCGCATCGAGAAAAGAAGGTGCTCTCCATTTCGCCATGTTCAATTTTTTTGGTAAACTATACCTGCTGAAAATTTGATGGCGGGGAAAGGAGATCACTCGAAAAAGCTACGCGCATGCAGCGCTATGCAAATGAACTAAGATCAAAGCTGCCGCAGCGCGTGAAGCGTAGCTTTTTCGAGTGATCTCCTCAATAATACCATAACTCCATGGTTATATTAGTTTATATATCATCTACCCTCAATTGGAATGGTCGTGTAAATATAATCATTGGTAAATGCAATAAAAATCTTAGGATAATTAAGCGTACCATAGGATGATGCTCTATTAAAAGTTTCTAAAACACTCTTCTCATCAGTAATAAGAAGTAATCTTGAGTATTATTATTCTGTTTCAAGCGGTACATCAAAGAGAAACATAAGGAGTATGGTATACAAATACGTCCTACTAAATTCAGCTTTAATTGATCCTGACCTTGATTATAAGGCACGCTTCGTGCGACTTGACTTGTTGCCGTTATTAGGCGTGATATCAGAGATCTCTGTATTTTTGTATAACAGTTTATTGAAATGTATGATATTTCTATTGATGACTACGGAATGAATCAAAATTTTTAATTCCTCACCAGACTTTCTTCTGATTCATTCATGTTATCTGTCCCTCGATTTTAAATACCGAACCTCATAAATCTGTTTATTTTCAACGAATGGTGCATATTTGGAATAATTTTCCTTTTCAATTCAATTAGATTCTTCTTTTTCATCTTTCAAAAACAAAGTGCTTGGATTTTATAATACATTACTACCGGTAAATTGAAATCTAATTTTCTTGGATGTTGCTAGATTATGAACATTTTCTATTCAAATTTTTAATCGATATTTAGACAAATTTTTATTTTAATGCAAATTATAGACCTATTTTTTTTTTATAGTTTTAATTGATATATCTCCATTGGTAAGACCATGGTACATGGTAAGACGACTCTGTATAGGTGCTTGTTTTCCTGTTCTGTACTTGCCTTTTTGGTGTTTTTTTTTTATCCAGTTAAAGTTTAATTAATTGAAATAGGAATTGTAATATACCGTATATATATATATATATATA